GATTTTCCTTGATCATCCAAATGATAGTATTTGGAAACAAGCTTTTGGGAAGATGTTTTTTCCCTGTTCACTATTTCAGTCAAAAGTGGCTATTAGAAAATTTTTCAGCTGAAGACTTCTGAATGGCACAACACTCACACCAAATACAGAAAGAGGCCATGATAATCAGCTGAATGTTCACATAAGCTCTCATGGTATCTGTTACGATGCCAAGAATAAAAACAAAGTCACAGCAGAAGACTAGAACCTGGGAAACAAATCACTGCTTGTGAAAATGCTCAGAAAGACAAGAGCCGCCACACTGAAACATACTGGACAAAATTATACTGAGAAAGTGGACTATGGAAAGTTACAATCAGACACGCAAATATTGCTGTAAAAACTAAAATGACTGGCAGGAGACAGTAGCAGGGCCCACTTTGCTTCCAGCCAGGCTATTTCACCCTGAAGCATTCCAACTAACACCCAAGCAGATGCAGCCTGGCTGCCACTGCAACAAGAGACAAAGCCAGGGCATATCAGAAGAAACACAAGATAGCCACCGCTGAATCCCCGAAAACTCTTAAAAAATAGAAATAAGAGTGGGCTAGGAAGGTGCTGAAGTTACCATTTGTCAGTTTAACTGCTTGTAAAGCAACAGGGAAGTAGGGAGCCTCACTGAAGCCAGCTGTCCCAAAAGGACTATCTAATACCTCTCAATTTGGACAGTATCTCTAGTTTCTTCAGACATTGGGCAGTTGTCTGTAACTGCTGAGCAACTAGTATTTGAGTTTACACTTGAGTGATTTATTTCCTTCCAAGCTTGTGATATATTTTCCACTGCACACATTTACTACTTTTGGTCCTTTACTGCCTTTTTCCAATTACATGTGATTATGTATCTACAGATGCTGAAAAATAGAGATTTGACCACAACTACAGGTAACAGAGGCTAGGAGAGGCTTACTGCTGGGTCTGATTTTAATGGAGAAGCGAGCACCAGTAAGAAAAACCCAACTTTCTGCCTCACATAGCTGTGGCTTCCCCTCTGGCAGCCCAAGTTTGCTGGCGTTCCAGTGATATTGCAAAGCTGTTTCCAGTCTGAATTATGAGACAGGTTCAAGTAAACAGCAGCAGACACCCACAATTAATACTATGCTTCTATCTCAGAAAGCAAACAAAAACAAACCGGGAGGCAAGCCCAGCTTTTCCTTAGCATTATGCTATTTTCCAAAACAGAAAGGTATAGTGTTTCAGTCTAGCTCTACATTTCCCCACTTTTTTATTCATCTACATTTTGGTTTTACAATTCTCTTACCAAATGACAGTAATAGGAAAGTTTAATATAAACTTTGATGGATATCGTAATCGCTTCACAAATCAGAAAGACAAGAGAATATAGTCTGGACAACAACAGTAAACAGGACATTTGGAAAACACATTACCAGTCTAAGGATTTTTAATGGATATATATTCACATTGCTGATTATTCAAGCAATTACAGAATATGACATTCAGATCTCAGGTTTCTTTAACTAAAATATATTCCAACTGTTTGCTTTTATCAGCAAGAGTAAATTTCACGGGATTAAGTTTCAAAACTTCAAGATAATTAAAGCTGTCTTGCTCTTCTTGCAACTACAAACATCACCTTTCAGAAACATAATCTATGCTGAATCTTGAAAGTTGAGCTCACCTGAAAAACAACTCACATTTTGGTATAATGACACCACCATTAAAAGACTTTCTGATATAAGACTAAATTGGTCTCTGGACTAAATTCACCTAGCAGCAATTTCTAAAGATCCTGTATTTAGTTGCAAACACACTGAAACTAATATCTCATCCAGGAATCAGACTTGCAAATAGTCCCTTCAGACTACCATGTTAATCCTGAAAGACACTAGTCCTCAGCCCCTACAGACTATATACACAATCTAAATTAATCAGTGCACCTTCTCTTCCTTTATGCTGTTGCTCTCTAGAATAGTTTACAAATAAATCTTCAGTAAATATATATGTACATACATTATATCCGTAGATCAGCTATTGACCTATCAACTGCTCAACAATATTTTCCTGAACACTTGAATTTACTGAAATTTCAGTGCAAAAAAGTGCAAAACATCACAGAAGGAATTTCTAAAAAAAGCATAAAACAAGCCTTCTGTACTTCAAGTTTTTAGAGTCTAACAGTTTTGCCTTTCTTGCTTCATATTCTATGCATTTTGCTATTGATCTTCATAATAAACAAAAAATGTTGTCACCTGGCTGGAGAGAGTGGCCCTGAAAAACAATGTCTTGCATATCAAAAGACTGTACTAGAACATCAACACTCGTTTTTAACGTTCATTTCTGTGGTTCATGCCTGAAGACAGCCCTCAAAGAGAGGGAAAAAAGTGACATTTTTAACTTCACAGTCCCAGAGGATCAAGAATGCTCCATTCATTTAACATGTGAGTTTCAATATAAAGAGTACTCTATATAGAATACACTTGGAGAACTCTAGCTTCTCTATATGGTATTCTGTGCTCAGCAGGATATAAATAAATCCTCACTCTGAAAAGATACTTCTGCAGTCACTCATAGCACTCCAGAAGAAGGAAAGGCATTTGTTCCTTCTTCTTAGAGGAAAAAGCCCCAGTGTTCAGCTGGCCTGAGAAAAAGATTCAGAAATCACTTAGTATATCTTTGTGGTTCCAAAACCAAAATGATGACATGGCTCATTCTTTTCCTTTCATTTTTACTTGCTGTACTTCATTTTTACGTCCTTAGACGTTTGAAGTTATTAAACACTTAACTGATAACTCTATAATTCCTTGATGTGTGGCTTTACTTCTTCAGCAGGTCAGGCTATATAATTATTGGCTTAATAGAGTTGCTATCAGAGCAGATGTCACATTCTAGAGACAAAGGCAACATATGGAATCTACTGACAAGTCCCCATACATTTTGTGTAGGAAGCTTCTAGATGGCTTTATGGCCCTAGCAATAGAGAAAGGAGATACAGGGAGTTCTACTTCTCTTTTAATTTTTGCTTTTTGATAAATGGAAGATAGAAATTATCCCTTTTGGCTATTAAAGTAGTTAAAGCATATATTTAATTTTAGCTATTCTGGCTCTAGGCTCTGGAGCTGCCTGCAGCAATGTTAAGTTCTAGCAAACTTTGAGCCAAGATCTTTATGGGAATATCTACATGGGAATGTAATAGCTGCCTGCTGTCATAAGAATAAAGTCTACAAATGAAGACACTGTGCTTTTAAGTGCAAAGGAAAAAAATTTAATTTTACAGATGAGCACATGTTCAAACACCCAAAACATTTTCTCTGCCTTGCATAGCTTCTTTATCCTGCTGCCATATGGTACAAAGAATTTTCCATCTTAATATCTGGAGACTATTTTCTAACAGGAACTACTAGATAATTTAGTAGTTTCTTAATAAGCAGGATAAATAAAGTTTATTATTATTTAAAATTAAGACATCAAAACAATTATTTCTTTCTTGTTAAGTTCACTACAAAAAAAAGTCCATGGAAAAAGACATATGACATAGATTACTGTACATTCAATGACCAGCTGTTTTAAATTTGGATATTAAGTAATTCACTCTTTTCTGTGTGCAAGAGCTGAATGATTTAATAAATTCCCATATGCCCCAACATGTGCCAGTTATACTAGGTTATCGAAAATCCAGCTGCTGTTACAATAATAGCTGCCAATGCTAAAACTACTGAAGAGAATAATGAATCGGCTTCAAGTCAACTAAGACATAAACTGACACAGTTCCACTTAAGATATGTGGGAATACAATACGTCTGTTAATTAAAAACTAACACTGATCCATAGTCACATGAAAATTAAGTGCCAAGAATTCATGTGCATTCTTTATGGTGGAAAATTAATGCAAATCAACCTGTATGGAGACAAGCAGCTCCATTTCCATCAATTGTCCTAGATGCATAGGAATGTCCTATAAATTACACATACAGTTTGCAAAACAGATTCTATTGTGTCAGTTTGCTTTTCTTTCTTACATATCACAATTCCCATGCAGTTATTGCATGACAAGTTTTACATTGCTAAACTTTTGTATTTATCAGTGAGCACAAAAATTGATTCTGAAAATTTGATTTCAATGTATTTTACTGGAATCTAAAAGTCAAAGGTAAAACACCACTGCTCTTAAGTCATTGAACGGGCACAGAAACAACAAAGCAGAAAGAGAGAAAGTAGCAAAACAAGGTGACAGAAATAATTCTCCAGACATGTATTTTTTTGACAATCGGTGCAGAAATATCCATCAAAATAAGTCCCTATTAACCTTTTAATAGACAAGAAAAGACTTCTTTGTGTATTAAATTATTACTTGTAGTTACAAAGGCTTTGCAGGTGGATGTAACTTTCATCTTCAGGTCAGCATAAGTAAACGCATTAGTGATATATTCTCCTACTTCTCACAATTAGCTCTGTTGTTAGGGGAAATAATTTTGAAATTATCTTAGAGTTTATCAGTCCCATAAGCAAGATTAGAGTATTATTATATTGATGTTAATTTACATTAGATATAGGACATAAAATACTTATTAAAAAAAAACCAAAACCAAACATAAACCCAATCCATTTATATTTGCTGGAGCTGGATCATCTCCAGTACACAAAGTATACGATGCTCAAAAGCCACATTAAAGACAACTTCAATAACACCAGCTTCAACCAATCTATATATAGTAGTTCAAGTATAAAAAAATAATTTAAGAAAGTATTATTTGAAAAAGATTAGGAATATATTGACAAATTAAAAGCATGTCGTGCAGAGATTTAACATGTTTATAAAACCTCAAGCAAAGGGTCAAACCACATCAAGGGGCTTACAGAAAACTCAAAGACTTTGAAAGCTTAAAGAAGCTCATTCTTTTTCATACCTTAATTATGAAGTTGCAAATAATTGTGTTTTCGGCCACATGTTTTTGACATTGCAACAAACCCAACACTGTTATTTTCTCAAATATTAGTAGACTTACTTTTCTTTAAGGAAATCCACTACTTGTTTGAAGTCTGCCACGCAGTATTCTCTTTTCATGTCCATGAGCACACTGTCAGAGGCTGACTGGACCGGTATGTGCAGAAAAGCATATACTCTTGGATGATTGAGAATCTTTGCCATTTCCTATGAGTTATTGGGGAAAAAAAAAACCAGAAAAAAAGCTTTAAAGCATTATGAAAACAATACCAAAAAAATCCTTTAAATTAATATATCGGGTAAGTATCAGCAGTAATTCTTCTGAAATCCAAACAACTTGCAGTACCCCAGGTTGAAACAGTGAGGACAACTGAAAATATTTGAAAGCAATTTTGTTTTAAAAGAAAATAAGAAGAAAGCTATGAGATTGAATTTCCTTTGAGATAGGGATCACAATCCTCATGTAGTATTGATTACACAATAAAAAGAAAATTTTAGAGGCAAAGTATTGTGAAAGTTGGCCCTTTCAGACAGTGGCTGTTTTCAACTTCAGAAGATGGCAGGGGTTAGCTGCTTTCTTGTCAGAGTCAAATAACTTCTCAGACACTAATATGAGAATGTCTCTAATTGGAGTAGCCTTAAAGTTGGCCATTTGCTAATTAAGGTACACCTCACAATTTGCAAACCTGCTCCAATACTGCTCTGAAATGTTACCTCTGTTATTTCAGAGCAGACTCCAGGAATTCAAAGTGCTTGGCTGTAACATGAATAGAATTAATCAGAGCGCAGCTTAAAAGCAGAGAGACAACTTGAAGAGACACACAGGATGTTATATATTTTGCACAAAATACAAATGGTCAGAAAGGAAAAAAGTAAAGGTAATAGCAAAATGTAAGCAAACCTTCAAATCAAAGCCAAACCAAACTCCCAACTGAGGCCCGGCAGGGTGATGGAACGTGAGATGGAGAATAGAACGCAGTGGTCACATTTCTTTCATTTTTGTTATTAACACAATTAAGGACATACAGTCTAGCAAGAAAGTTTAAATATTTTTTAAAGTTGAGACAAGCCAGCATCTAGACTGTGTGCAACGTGGTACTGTACAGAGTGTAAAATTTCATCCTGCAAGAAATAAGTGAACTCGGATGGACAAAGAACACTACTACATCAGGTTTTCACTTAAGGTTTTCTCCATGTGCTGTAAGCATAGAGAAAATAGCCTGAGACTGAGCACTGTACTGACTGCTCTTCTGCCATGTGCATTCTGCACGCTCCAGTCAGGCCCACTCAGACCATCTCTCCTGTTTTCTTTGACAGCATAGATATTCTGTCTGACAACTCAATACTGCTGCCAGATTCAGTTGTTAAGATGCAACTATTTACAAATTCTTTCCAGATCATTAATCAGCAATATTAGTCACGCATCTAGATTTTCCATCTGTATTTCTACAAGGTTGGCCTAGATTGTACAAAGACAAGGCAGATATCCTCATGCCTTTTAACTTTCAGGAACCCACCTTTTAAAGGCACTGATTTCTAGAGCAAGAAGAAAAAAATGCTCTCCGAACACTCACTTTTCATCTGACAAACATGTGTGCAAAACCCAAACTCTATCAAGTCACTTCTGAAAGCAGATTTGAAAGTTTCTAAGATGCTACTACATAAATGTCTAAAGAGAAGTGGTTACATTATTCAGCGGAACAGCTACTCCAACTCAGGCATGTAAACTCAACCTTACAGTAGTAGCTACACTGATAATGGATGGCACGGAAAGGCTGCGTGCAGAGAACTGTCTCTCAGTGGAAGCTGGAGGTAGCTGGTTTCATGAAAAAAGAGTAAAGAAAAGGCCAACATGCATCCATACAAATTTTATGTGTCCATTTCAAATGGAGCCATTTGCCTATGCCCTTAATAATTTTAGATGTTCTGCTAGAATGCATTTTCAAAAATGAAATGGCATAGAACAAGTTCTGTAAAATAAAGTAACAAAAATAGGAAAACTTTCCTTCTTTTTTAAGTTTCAGAAAATCCTGTAAACATAATTTATGCAAAACATTCTAGTATTCATCTGTGATTCTTTTGCTTAATAGCAATAAAATATGTTTCTAAAATATGAGAAACGGCAAAAGGGCTGAAACCTAAGCTGTGGACCACAAGCCTATTATTCTGCTATTCTCTTAGTTCCAAGTACTTCATTCACTCTTCAAAAACAGATTTAAGAAACAAGAAACCAATACAAGTCAAGTTGCGTAACATGTTTCTGAATCTGCCAAGTTCTTAAAAATAACTTGTTCTACAACACAGATAAAAAAATTAATTCTTTGCCACTTCTCTCAAATTTTGCATCTTCCGAATAACAGACTCTTTAATATGTGATCACTTTGTGAATTCTTTTTGAAAGTAATAAATGATTTATTAGAATTTCTAGATACAAAAAGGATATTTTATTCCAGCTTTTGTAAGGCTGAGAATCATTTGATTACAAAACCTCACAGATTCACTTCTTTGTTTGGGATAGAAATACTACATTTAAGAAAACTACTTTGTTTTGCCACAAAGTTTTGATACAAGTCACAAGTGTGGAAATTCTCTAGTTATGTTAAAATATTGGTTTCATTTCTCTTTCTCTCTTCTTTGCCTTAAAAAATTGAAAAATTTGTTACAAAGTATAAAGAGTGAAACCCAAATTCTACAATCTCAAAAGTGTTTTCCTATCCAGAGGATCTCTAAAAAAACATTCATTCAACCCCAAACCCACTAGTTGCTTATCCTACAGGAACATGCAGAATCCT